TATGACGATATTGTGATAATGAACGAAATGTAATAACCAATTGACTTGGTTTAACGTGTCTAAAAGTATTCATACTAACTTGTCTAAACATAGCTGCTACCCTTTCTTATAACTTACCACTACTAACTGAAGAAGAAGAGTGTGGGTGTAATCTTTTTTCTTTGCTCAAATGGGAGAAGTGAGAATGAGATGAATTTATATTACATTGGATTGCTATGTGATATGTGAGTTCTCTCTATTGCTATATAAAATGGTTACTGGACTACTTATCTATACTTATCCTAACATGCTTCTTTTTCTACCTCTTAATCTTACATCTTGTAATTTCTTTTCAACTTCTTTAAATTTCATTGATTTATTTAATTGTTTATGAATTAATTCATAACCTTCTAATAACCAAACATTATAAGTATCAGAAAATAATGAATGAGTACTTAAGATTGCTCTTTCTAATACATATAAATCAACTGCTTTATTAATCCACTAAATGATGATAATCCAAAATCAATTAATGGAGGATCATAATCATCATTTGTTAATAAGATTATATTTGAACTGGTAAATCACCATGAATCATATCATTAAGATGTAATTTACCAATTAATTGACCAAGTTTATTACAAGTAGATTTAATTTGTTCACTTATATATAACTTACGATTGTCTTCTTCTTCTTCCCCTAGTTTCTCTAAATACCATAACCAATTCTTTAAAGAACTAATTGAATTATTTGGTAAATTAAATATCCAAAAATTTTATATACAGTGCAGAAAAAGTCAAGGTGCTACTTGCGCTTTCATCAATTTATTTGCGCTTTCAATTGATCTAATATATAATCACTAAATTTACTTAACCCACTGGTACATGTACATAAACGATACATATTATTAGATTGATAAGAATCTTTAATAATCTTGCCATCTTTATCAACTTGTACATAACCAAATACATTTTCAGGTTCAGGTATACGAGCATATTGAGGTATTTCTCTTAAATCATAAATAGGCATAAAGCAATCCTTATTAACACCAGCTTCCATTATAAACGTAAAATCTTGATCAATATGATCACGAATTGTTTCATGAACTAATTTAAGAAATTTAGGATTAGATTTAAAACTTTCAGGTGTTGGTAATACAGAATCGGAAATTCCAATATCTAAAGATTTTGGATTTGTTGAAAGTGAAAATTTATAAATATTGGGATTTAATTCATGAATATAAATTTGAGGATTATGACGATATTGTGATAATGAACGAAATGTAATAACCAATTGACTTGGTTTAACATGTCTAAAAGTATTCATACTAACTTGTCTAAACATATTCCTACCTTTTCCTATTACTACTAATTACTTAAAGAAGAAGAAGAGAGATTGACAGAGTAATCTTTTTTCTTTGCTTTAATGGAAGAGTGGGAATGAGATGAGTTTATAAATTACATTCTATATTGGATTGCTATTTATAGCTAGTTCTCTATTGCTATATAATAATATGGGTTACTGTATACTACTTACTTATCCTAACATACTTCTTTTTCTACCTCTTAATCTTACATCTTGTAATTTCTTTTCAACTTCTTTAAATTTCATTGATTTATTTAATTGTTTATGAATTAATTCATAACCTTCTAATAACCAAACATTATAAGTATCAGAAAATAATGAATGAGTACTTAAGATTGCTCTTTCTAATACATATAAATCAACTGCTTTATCTTCTGCTAATCCACTAAATGATGATAATCCAAAATCAATTAATGCAGGTTCATACGATTCTAATAAGATTATATTTGAACTGGTTAAATCACCATGAATCATATCATTAAGATGTAATTTACCAATTAATTGACCAACTCTATTGCAAATAGATTTAACTTGTTCATTTACACATAACTTACGATTGTCTTCATCTTCCGCTGCTTGCGTCTCTAAATACCATAACCAATTCTTCAAAGAACTAATTGAATTATTTGGTAAATTAAATCCTAGATATTCCATCCAAATTATTCCATTATTATAATCAATTGATATAATTGATGGACAATTGATATTTAATTTTTGTAATTTATACATAAATTTACATTCACTTATTGTCCGTGATTTATTTATAAATTGATCAATCTTCGGATGTCTATAAGGTTTATTTGGTCGATATTTAATAATGTACTTATCAGTACCATTGGCTGTAGATGAGATGTTATACGGATGAATTGAGGTTTCAAATACTAATGCTTCTGCTCCTTGTGATATTATTGTTATCGGGATATTATTTAAATGTTTCTCCACTGTTTCTATTAGTTTATCTGTCATTTTTTATATGTAGTTTTAAGGATGGGGTGGAATTATCACAATAAAGGATATACATGAAGAAAGAAGGCCTGGAAAGAGTTGAAAAATTATATCAAAGCGAATGTCGTAGGTTCTGGATAGTGTCATTTTTTATTTTTACTTTACGACACTAATCACATGACTAGATTTGACTTTCCCACTACCCCCGCACATCACATTGTCTCTGTCTGTGTCAAACCTCCCAACCCCCTTTGTTTCATTCAACTTTAATACGATCCATATCTGAATCAATATTTAAGAAAGAAAAAGCAAGATACAAGAAGATGACATCATCCAAATCATCATCCTCCCCATCCAACGACAACGCATCAACATCTTTAATGTATATCATTCCACCATACTTATTAAATACTTGTAAAGGATCAATTTTACAACAACAACAACAACAATTATTTGATAACATTAATCATCAATTAAATATCATAACCAAAGATTCTCCTTATTATTATAAACATCCACAACCAACACCAACACCAAAACCAAAGAAACAACAACAACAACGGGAAGAATCCATATTGAAACTGAAACCATCACCACATGAAGATGCTCCATTGAAACATGAACCAGCGCATACATTTTCAGATGATCCAATTCTTAATGATATAATTAAAGAAAAGATTGCCTACAAATTATCAATCATTGGTGTCTTGGGAGATAATCCCATGGAATTAGTTGATGATCAAAGGATTTATGAGATGTTTCAAATATTTAAATCAAGAATTATGGGTGAAGATGATGAAACTGAAGCAGGAGTTGTGAATGATCTTAATTTAGAATCCAATGAACAACTGAAACAACAACAAATCCCACCTTCAATATTCCATTCTCCTAAGATTGGTGAAGCTAGTTTTATTAATGATGAATTATCAAAAAGATATAAGAAATATTTATCAATGAATTTAAAAGATTTAATTGGTATTACAAATTGTAATTTAAATCATAGTAAATATAAATTACCTCCAAGTTTTATTAAATTTGAAAAGGGGGAATTTTTTAAATATCCATTACCTATAAGTTGGATACCATTAATTCCAAATCCTTATTTAAATCAATTAGAACAAAACCTTGCCTTAAAGATTGATAATCAAGATGGATATAGTAATATCCTAATGTCGGCAACAACTTCTCATCCAATTGAAGATTCTCCCAATTCATATTATAATTTCATCACTGATAAACCAATAAGTTGTTCAACCGGGGTATTTTATTATGAAATCGAAGTACAACAAACTTTAGCTGAATCGACCAATTTTAAACCTTTGATATCAATGAATGATTCTTCTATAAATTCAATATCCTCATTAAATCTAGCCGCTGGGTTTAGTAAACGATTTATCAATTTAGAAGGAGTATCACCTCCTACAACTACTACCACTGCTGCCGTGGCTGCTACTTCTTCAATTGCTGGACTTGGAAGGATTGATTTAGAAAAGATCAAGAATGATATAATATATTCCGAATCTGATGAAGATACAATAACTCCCACCCCAAGTACTCCCATCATTAATAGTGATTTAAATATATTATTAAGAACAAAACCAGGAGAATTTCGTGGTAGTTTTGCCGTAAGTTTTGAAGATTCAACATTTTATAATTCTGCCAAAAATGCCGAATCATTACAAAGACAACAAGTCATAAATATGAATCGGCGAGTTTCGGCCATGAATAGATCTAATATTAATGATATAGATCTGGGGAAGATTGATATTGGAATTCCATTCAAGACTAAGATTGTGAATAATAATAATAATAATGGTGTGGTGAATGGTGATAGTGATAATGGAGGTGATAATGGTGATCGGGTGAGGATTCATAGAACGGATACTATTGGGTGTGGGATTAATTTTATTGATAAATCGATGTTTATTACTTTGAATGGGGTTTTGGCGAGGGTTATTAGTGAAGGGGAATTAACTGCCATGAGTAGTACTCAAGCTACGACCGGAGCATCAGCAGCTGCGGCAGCAGCGGCAGCAGCAGGAACAGGAGCTTCCACCGGGGCTAATCAAACCAAGAGAAGTGTTAATAATTTATTTTATCATGAATCTAATGATAAAGAAAAAGATAATCCAATTTATCCAATGATTGGATTTAAGATTAATGATATTGAAGTTAATAATAATCAAGAATTTGAGCCTTCAAATATGAAAATAACTACCAATTTTGGATTTAAAGAATTTAAATTTAATATGAATAATTATATTAATAATTTTAAACATGAAAATCAAAAATTTCTTTATTTATCATTATTAGATAAAATACAATCTAATAAACTTAATAAGAATGAAAATGAGATTGAAAATGCTTTATTGAATATAAATGAAGATTCGGCAATGTTGAATAAATTGATTAAAGGATATTTAAATCATCAGGGGTATATAAATACATTCAAGGCATTTAATCAAGATTTACAAGATTTAACAATCATTGATGAGAAGGAAAGAGAAAGCGATAACAACAACAATGTCAATGATGAGGAAGATGTGCTTATTAAGTCTCATGCATATAGTAGACAGGTTATAAAACAATTTATTATGAATAAGCAATTTGATGAATTATTGGAATTCCTTGAATTGAATTATGGATATTTAATGAAAACTGCAAAAGGTGGACAAATCTTATTTGAGATTAAATTGATTAAATATATTGAATTGTTGAAGGTATATCTTGAATATAAATTAAGGGACGGAACTACTGAAAATGAGATATATCATCAAGTAATTGAATATAGAAGATTGTTATTATTAGAATATGAACAATTTGAAGAAAAGATTAATAAGATAAATGAAGTATCATCAATATTATTAATTAGCAACACCAAAATGGTTGATAATCAATTGAAATCAATATTCGTCAATTCTGATAAACAATTGAATAAATTACAACAAGAGATTAATAATGTTATATTAAAATCAATTGGTTATAAGAAATATTCCAATTTAGAAATGATATTTGATAATGTTAATAAGAATATTAATACTTTAAGTCTTGATTATAATGATGATAAATTTATGTTAATTAATTTTCAAAAAGATCATATTGATTTATAGACTCCCCCCCCCATTGTTATAGGTTTATACAATATAGTGTATTATTATCTTCTTCTTTGTCTTTTTGGTTTTGGTTTATCTTCTTCTTCCAGTGTTTCTTCTTCTGGTACTTCTTCCTCTGGTACTTCTTTTGTTGTAATATCATCTGGGAAGTGTACATTTGATAATTTATCTTTTTTATGATGTTGATACATCCATAATGCCCAACTTCCTCTTTCTATAACATCAAAGGATACATCCAGTCCTTTTGTCAATTCATAATATTTCGGTATTAATAACTCAATATATTCTTTTACATTATATTTAATAGAACCACCAGTTGGTTCAATTAAATACATAAAACTTTCATCACTAAAAAATGGTGGTGATAATTTTGGATTAATCTTTATTAATAAACTTAAGATTAAACTACCAGTAGCTGGACCAACACCCCTTAATTCACATACTTTCTTTAATGCGGATTTAACAATATTCTTATATTCTTGAATATCATCAATTGATTTGTTATTATTCATATAATCTAATATAATCTTAAACCCAGCCTTAGTTGTGTCAATTACAACTTGATCATCATTTGATTTAATTAATTTAGGTAATGTTGGTCTAAATTTCCCCTTGGTTAATTTCCAATCCATTAATAAAATAAGTTCATTTTTATTTATCCATGCAGTTTGATTGGTTTCATATCGTTGATGAATAATTGAAGGTAATGTTGATTGTCTCCAACTTTCTAATTGTTCAAATGTTTTTGAATTGTTATCGAATTTTTTAATTGATTGTTTTGATAATTCTTTAATTATCAATTGATAAAGTTGTTTACTTGCTTGAATGATTACATCAAGCGATGGCATTGACGACATTGTAAAGAGTGATGAAGAGTAAGAGGAAGAAGAGATGGAGTGTAGACGTTTATGAAAAAAAGATAATTCATATGAGATGTGTCGTATGAGGATATATACAGGTGATGGATATATATACAGACTAGGCTAATGATTAATTATATCAATTGAATTCTTATTGGTTGATTGAGAATAATTTAATCTCTTTTTTGGTGTAAAACTTATTGGCATTAATAAATCCATTATAATATTTTGAATTAATGAATATAATTGACTACTTAACCAATATAAGGTTAATGCTACTGGAGCTTGAGTTGATATAGACATCATAAAGATAACCATTAATCTTGACAAATTACCCATAGCATCAATGAAAGTTGGTCTTCTTGATTGTCGTTTAGTTAATCTCAGTAATTCCAATGTTTTAAATGACCATTCAATATTAGCTAATGATGTTATCCCTAATAATAATGGGAATACATGTAAAGAATCATTAATAGTTAAATCAGTAAACCATAATAATCCTTCAGTATATAAAGTAGGATCTAATGCTTTATTATGTAAATTATCCCAACTTGACCAACCACTTAAATCTCTCATGGTAATTGACATTATAATCCATAATGGGATTTGAAATATTGGTAATAAGAAATTCTTATAAATTTGAATATTAAATCTTTTAAATAATTGTTTTTGTCTCTTTCTGGTTTCTTTAGCACTAAGAATTAAGATTTGTTCATATTTCATATTAACTAATGGGTTCAGTAATTCACTATAATCTTCAGATTTCCCGGAATCAATCTTTTCTAATTGTTTAGTAGCTTTAGCTTTTGCTTTATTAACTTGTTTAGCTAAATTCATTTTTAATATTGGATTGGTAGCACTGATTATAGGACGTAATGCTGATTGTTTTTGTAATCTCTTTCTTTGTAATACTGCTAAAGGCATGGTCCATATTGATCTTAATGTGAAAGTAGCTATGGGAATCAATGCCCACCATGGTAATCCAGTATATTGATGAACTTGTTGAAACGATTCTGTCATGGTATTTATAATTACATGATGATCAATTGAAAAGTGTCGTACATTATTACCACTCCTTCGTATTATCAATGGTCTTATTGCTATCCTTCTACCAACTACAAACATGTCCCTTCCCTTGTTTTTATAGTAAATCTATTCCCTTAATCTTATACCCTTACCTTCTCCAAGGGTAGAATTGTACTTGAAAAAAAAAGAAAAATTTTCAGAATCTCAAACTCACTATGACTTTCTTTTTCTAAGGGTTATCATCATCATTCAAAAGGGGGAGTGATATAGCAATTAAATAAATAACATAGATAACAGTCATGTCCAATAGATCAGAGAGAGCATGTATGCTTTGTGGAATCATCCAACCATTCAAGAAATTCGTCACCACTGGATGTCCAAATTGTGAATCATTATTACATTATCAAGATAATGAAGAAGGTCAAGTACAAGATTGTACATCACCTTCTTTTGAAGGATTAGTAGCATTAGGAGCAGATAATAAAGGATCTTGGGTGGCGAGATGGTTAAGAATAGATTCATTTGCTCCTGGTCTTTATGCTGTTAAAGTTAATGGTAAATTACCTCCTCATATTATAAGTGCTTTAGAAGATGAAAATATTATTTATCGACCAAGAGATGGATCTGCTGAGGATTAACCCTACTGCTGCTACTATTATTGCTGCTACTACTGTTACTGTGTATTATTATTATTACTGTCATTATTTCAATTCTACTACTTTTATTACTTTTTCTTTTATTGTTAATACAAAATTACATACATACAATTGTTATTATAAACTTATTTAATTGATTCCAATGTTTCATATAATTTATCCAAAGTTGGAATCTTATTCCATTGATTTCTATCTTTCCAAATAATATCCATTAATCTTGCCATTGTAATCTCTAATTTCTCTATATTAAATCCTTCACTTATTTCAATTAATTTATTATATAATTCATTTAATCTTTCTTCATCAATAATTAATTGTTTATCATCATCAATTTCAATTTCTATTTCAGCTTCTGATTCTGAATCACTAGGGTGTTGTTGCTCTTCTTCTTCTATTGGATCTTCTACTATTTGTTGCTGTTCCTCGTTTTCAACTACTTTCTCTTGGGTTGTATCAGCTTTATCAATNATCCATACCTTCAGCAGCTACCGCGTCATTTTTCAAAGATTCGGTGGCTCCCTCAGAAGTAGATTCCAGGATAATTGTAGGACCATTCAATATTGGTACTACTGGAACAGGCTCACTAACTACAACCACGCCATTCTTTTCATGTCCGTTATTGGCAGCAGTATTGTCCAACTCAGCATTGGCCAAAGTCTGTAAATTCAATTCTTGACTCTTTTCAAACTCCAATTGTAATTTCTTATGTTCCTCCAATAATTTCTGTTGTTTAATTAAATCACGTTCTCTAACTTCTTTACAAGCTTTCAAAAATTCTGGAGTTGAAAAATCATCAATTCCAAATTGGGCATTAGTTAACATTTCATTTGCTTTTAAAATCCTTTCCCTATCTCCAGATGTTATCGAATCTTTAACAATCATTTTAATATCTCGTAAAAATTGTTTTGGTTCTGAATAATATCCATTCCATAATCTTTCTTCAATTATATCTAAATCCATATTATAAAAATATCTCCCAGTTGATATTTCTCGAATCATATTTTCATGTTCTAAATCAGTAGATTTTTCATACAAGACTTCATATGGTGTTACAGTCATTGGATTATTAATTACAGTTGGATCAAATAAATGATATAAATAATTTTCATCAATAACTGGTTTTCTAAATCTCTTATATCTATTCTTAAATAAATCCATTAATCCTGCTAATTTTATCTTTAATACATTCTTTAATTTTGTATCATTATACTCTTGTTCTTTGAGTTGCTTTTTCGCTAATGCTTCTTGAGATAATTTATCTTTAGGCCCAGCTTTAACCACCGGTAATTGTTTTAATTTCCTCTTTGGGCGATTTTCTAAATCATTAACAAATTCAAAAGGTTTCATTAACAAAGTATTCTTTAAACCTTCAAAAAAAACCAGTCTTTGATTCAAATTAGGTAATTTCAAACAAACATTATTCGATTCACTTTCAAATCCGAATATTAATTTAATCTCTTCATCTAATTCCAGTATCCCAATTTCAGAAATTCCCAACATCAATACCCGTTCAGAACTATTCAAATTCCGAATCAAACTCAACAATGTCGCCCTAGCTGATCCAGGAACAATTTGAAACCAAATATCAATATTCGGAATGAAAATAATCGAAGGCTGATGTCTTCTAGCTTCAATAAACGCTTGTACAACAATCAGATCAGGTGTTCGGGTAGGATCACCAAATATGGTTCCCATATCTAATGATTGAACTTGGAAACCTTCTAAATAATTCAAAATCGCTTGTGCAAGATATTGTTGACCCAGACCAGGTGCTCCACCAATTAATAAATGGGGACGACAGATACGGGAACTTTCTAAATTCTTTAGGATTTGCAATTTCCCAAATCCTCCATCGGGGTCTTTTGTTGTTGGATCAAGATATTGAGCTTCTTCTAAACTAGTGATTTTCTTTTGATTTCTTGAATTAGGTAAAAGTTCATTCCATTTTGCGATTATTTCATTCATATTATCTTGTAATAAAGGTTTTAAATGTTCAGGCAAAGGTGCCGAACCTGAAGAAGTTGATCTTGCACTAGATGGAATGATTTTTTCAATCGCCTTCATGAAATCTTTGGCTATAACTTTGACTTTTTTAGGATCAACTTGCAATTTTTCATTTGTAGAATAAATTTGAGGATATTTCCGTTGAATACTATGCAATGCCGCTTCTGTACATAATGCTCTCAAATCAGCTCCACCATACCCCTTTGTCAATTCAGCAAGTTTATCCACAAAAACCTCAGGTAATTCCGGACTCCAACCCCGAGTATGAATTTTAAGAATCTCTTTACGAGCACTAATATCAGGCAAGGGGAAATAAAATTCTCGATCAAATCTTCCCGGACGTCTTAATGCCGGATCAATTGAATCTGGTCGATTAGTAGCCCCAATAACAATCACTTGTCCTCGATTATCCATCCCATCCATAAGTGCCAACAATGTCGAAACAATACTGGCATGGATTTGTTCTTGTTTTGAAGATCTAACGGGTGCTAATCCATCAATTTCATCAAAGAAAATAATTGAAGGTTGTTGATTCTTAGCTTCTTCAAAAAGAAGACGTAATTGTCTTTCAGCTTCTCCTACCCATTTACTCAAACAGTCAGCTCCCTTTCTCATGAAAAATGTGATTTTCCTTTCTGCGGTGGAACAACTTGCAGCTAATGCCCTTGCCATTAAAGTTTTCCCCGTACCTGGAGGTCCATGGAATAAAACCCCACGAGGTGGGGTGATTTTGAAGTTTTGATATAATTCAGGATATAATAACGGTAAGGCTACCATTTCTTTTAATTGATTGATATAATTATCTAATCCTCCCACTACCGAGAAATCAATATTCATATCTATACCTAATGGATCAGTATCACTAAGACTATTTTTCTTTTTGTTCTTGGAATCATCTGATCCTCCCGTGATTAATTTTACAACTGAATTATTATTAGGTGGGATGGCGGCGGCTGGTTTTAATGATTTTGGTTGTTTTTTACTTATGGTTGCTTCACCATTAATTGGGGCGATTTCATCTTCTGAAGAATCAGAATCGGATAAATTTTGTCCAATTGCAGTTAAATTATTATTATTGACATTTATTGGCATTCCTGGAATAGGTATACCACCGGGAGGGATATTTGTTCCAAATAAAGAAATTACATCGCTTCCACCAAATGGACCAGCAGTTGGATAAAGAATTTTTCGGAATTCATTCTTATTACTAACTCTTCCTCTTCCTCTTCTTGGTGTACTTGGTCTTGGCTCCAATTGGGGATAGTCGTTACTGATTGGGGGTGGGATATAATAATCAACCTTTGGTCTCTCGCGTAATTTATGTTGGACTGGACTTTCTTTGAATACAGAATCTTTTAAATCGGCAATTTCTTTTTGAATATCATCGACATCATCATCATCACCCCCGCCTTCGATTTGCTGGTCGACATTAGGATCCTTGATTAAGTTGGAAATGTTTAATCTAGCTGACCGAGTAGTTCTTACAGGTTCATCATCTTCTTCGTCCCAGATTCGTTGTTTTCTTTTTCTGCCTCTACTACTCTTTTTTGATTTCTTGTTAGGTGGTTCTTGACCATATTCATAATCTTCAGCTTCTTCATCTTCATCATCTCGTTCAATGAATTTATTGATTCTCCTCCTTTCAAGAACTTTTTCGTCTTCACTTGATAATATCACATCTGGGTCATCCTCGTCGTCCTCTTCTTCGTCATCATCCTCGGCCATGAATTCATCATCATCAGATTCGATAGATCGTTTGCTCTTAGCCCTCTTTGTTGGGGATGCTGTGGGGATGTTGTCATCAAATGATTCTTTGATTTCAGTTTCTCCTTGGTTTTCTTCTTCATCTTTCTCATCTTCAGACGAAGATGTCTCTTTGTATGATTTTCTTACTCTTGATGGATGATGTCTGACCGTGTCATCATCCGCAACTCCTGCATCTTCTTCATAATTATCAAGTGGTGGACTACTGTATCTTGATTTTCTTATTCTTTTCTTGGGTGGCATATGTGATGAAATGAAATGCAGTGCGTTCTATAAGTACAATTTAATAATAATAATAATAATACAGTGTGTGTGTTCTATTTATAGCACCAACGGATACTTATGTAATAGTAGTTTGATATTGGGGGTGGGGGATAACCTATCTCTCTATACTGTCTTATGTTTGTATTGATCGTGTACCTGTTGTAAAATTTCGAGTTTTTGAATTTCAACAAAAAGTTGTTTTGATCAAATTTACACGACCTTCAATCAAGGATCACGTGATCCAAATTTGTGTTGTTGGAAGAAGAAAAAATCCCCAATATCAGAGGAACGTTCATCCAAAGATATCTTTACCCAGATATCAAAGTCTTGGGTATAGCTATGAGACTAGGATAAACATTCTAGCTGATTATAATTGTCTTGGTATTTCTATCTCCGTGAGGGGAACTGCCTTGCTGCTTAGCTTAACTATATTGAGTAGAGTCCCTCACTATGAAAAAGCATTTATTCAAGTTATGAAGAAGTATTATGAGAAATGGCTCGACGACAAAGATTTTTAAATTCCCTGAAAAATCATTTGCTGAAGGCATGACAGCTGCATTATCTGACCTGAAGTGTGTGAATTTATAATTTGTCATCAATGGAGAATAATTTGATTACAAATTTCAAAGTGACACATTTTAGATCCGATAATGGAGCCAAGATGCCTTTGACAAATGATCTATTGGTTATGTATTTCTCCCAGTGGACGACTTACCCCATAGAATATTCTTGTCTATGATAAACCGGTATCCATGAGGCGATCTGTTCAAATTAACGATAGATATCCGTGGGTAATGGAACTCCGTGAGGAGAGGACTAGTCCCCCATTGGAAAGATAATTCATGCCTATCGAATATTGTATTTCCTTAGTATGTATTAACTAAATAAATGCTATTTCCGTCAGATTTTCTGTTGCTAGAGAATGTGGAAAATGAACATGAAAAGTTATTTATAGGTACCCAGAATCTTGTAAAATGTTGGAGAATAGTATAAATAGTAGGTAAATTTCCCTGCTATCAGGAATGTTAGTATATACATCATTTAAGATTTCACAAACAAAATAAATTTTACAATTTACAAGTTACATCACCTTTTATCATCTCTGATGAGAGCGATAATGAAGATAATGATATCTCTGATGGGTTTGTTGCTATTAATCCTGAAGGTGAGAGCGGGTATGGAGTTAGTAATCTCGGTGCTGGTTACTCTGTTGGCCGTAGTTTGGACACTGCTCGCTATTCCAACAGAAGGAGACTTGGTCCATCTGCACCTCGTCCTACCTACTCTAGTAGGGAAGAGTTGACAGCGGTAGCGAATGTCGAGCCCAGCAATGATACAACTTTCCAGTTGAGGGAATCCTGGAAAAAGGAAATTAGATATGCACTTGTCCTGGCTTACCAAAATTTCCATTTTAAAAAGGTCAACCTTGCCTGTCAAACTGAGACAGTTGAAGCAGGTCCTAAAGCCTATATTGGGGGATTAAAGATTATCCCTTGGACCCTGATTATTTCATATTCACTGAAAACACTCAGATCCATAATATGAATATCATTAATGAGGGTGGGTCACTTTTGGAACTTTTTGATGAACTTTTAACTGGAAAGTTACTTGGTAATGGGTCCCTTTCAACCAAAGTTACCACCAGGGTTGGACATGTCGGTATGAAGGATATCCTTCACTACATTTACAGAACTACTGAGTTGTCCTGAGAAGCAATAGCCGAAGAAAGGATCGAGGAGTATTTTTTTTTACTTAGGTGAAGCAATGAAAGAGATTAGTTTTGGCTCTGCGAAGCCAGCAATGTCCAATTACCAATTACTAAACCTATGGAGTTTATTGCGAAGCAAGATTTCCGGCTCATTGCTACTTATGAACAGCAGAGTTGCATGGCAATGAACTCGTCTATTGGTTTGGAAATTAGTCATTGGATATTAGAATTACACAAGCATGTGACATGTTAACAAAATATTTTAGTAGTGCAACTTTGATATGGGATTTGCACCTGCCATCTTCATTGTAACATGTTTCACCAATTAACTGATGACGCAAGGTTTGGGTGCAAATTTTCAACCATTTTGCAGCTTAATAAGACCCAAACATTCAAAAAATTCAAACCACTTGTCATTCAAAAGTGAACATAAGAGAAAGCATATAATGTCAAGTATGAGATGTATTGTCCCATGTTGTTAGCTGTCGTGTGAATTTTCGTAAACTATTTCGTAATGTCATGATCAATAACACGATTTCTAAACATTAATTCCTTCCGTAATATCCACTTATCTAGTTCTAGGTTTTAAATCACAACAATAGCTATCGACAACAGTGTACCTAGATCAAGAATCAAAGTTGAATATATTTCTGAAGTATGGGGTTTTTTCCAGAACCGATTGAACTTCAATGCTATACCACAACGTGCTCTGACAAGATCCTCACCCAAATAGCACGACAAATATATCAATCAAAAGTGAGAATGATTGGATATGGAGGTGATGAAAGGGTAGTGAAGGCGTTAACATATTATCCAACCTAATTTGAAGGGGTTTTGAAAGTAGAGGTGAATTAACTAGTGAGGGGAAAATCCTTTTTGTAAACTTCTTTTTGTGTAGTCACCAACCACAAATAGATACTTCCACAAGCAGTATAACCACATGTCAATCAAATTTGTAGATAAGGGCCCACTTGGAGTACAGCCCATAGTTCATTTACATTGTTAACATGAACATGCTTAACAAAAACATGAAATTCAAAAGCTCCCATTGGGGACGCTTCGTAAATTTAGGAAATGCTAGCATTCTTTTGTGGTTGTTACTGTAGCTTTGATAGAGATTTACAAACCCCTCTTTTCAAATACGCCTGAGTTTTATTTTGTGTATTAAGTTTTTTGTGGTTGTGTAACTTATAATAGTACCGTATATAAAAAAGTATACAAATTTGGTTGCAAA